GCCATATACTAATTCCTCTGTACTATGGCAGTCAATGAAATGGGTCAACTTGCTGCCCTTGAGGTGCTTAGGACAGGTAGGAAAGGCAGACATTATTATCTAATACTCGAGCTTGAGCATGGATCAGGTTGTTTCCCAAATCTGCCATAAAAGTTATCACCTTTAATTCTAACAGACTCCCTACAGATTAGATATAAATATTACCTTCATTTCATATATGAGATTTTTAAAAAGTTAATTAAATCCTTCAAGATTATACAGCTATTAGTGGCAGAACTGGAACTAAAACCCAGGTAGTCCGATTCTAAAGCCTTGCTGATATTTAACCGCTTTACTGGATGGTAAGTAAATGTATGCTATAATTTGTGATTGCTGGGGTCTGTAGGGTACTGATGAATCCTAGCTTGCCTTTCAGTGGTAGATAATGGAGACAAATAGAGATAAAAACATGTACTTTGTTCCGGGAAAGCTGGTGTGGGGCATGCATGGACGGGTCATTCAGGCGGGCTTATTTAAATACCTGCCTCAGTGAACTGAGCCTGCACACTCAGTCAGCTCGGGGAGAGGAGAAGGCGCCCTTAGAGGCGGGCACACTTGGAGGTGGGGAGTTGAAGAAGCCGCGTCACTTCTGAGCCTTGCGCATTTCCCCACTTGCGAGCCAGTTTAGAGAACTGAGTTTAGAGAAGACCAAAAACGTACTCCATACTTCTTCGAGAGAAGTCACTGTTTTGTGGGTCAGTAGGAGCAAGGGGGGGGGGGGAGCAGAACCCCTCCCTTTATTTGAGGTAAAGAGGGGCCAGTGACTGTGCTGTGGTGGACCGCCTGGGCCCTTTCAGGGTGTGACTAAGCCAAGGCTGGAATGATGAGGGGCTTTAGTCATGGGCTGGGATGAGGACAAGGTTGAAGAGACTCTCAGGAACCAGGAACAGCCGGTCCAGAATAGTTCCAGGAACCGAGAGGAGCCAGCGTGTTCGGAGCTTAGTGGCAGGCGTCAGGGGGAGGGAGGAGCAGCACAGGAGTAGGCAGAGTGTTGGTGGGGTCTGACTGCCTGGACCTTGCAGGCCATGAAGGAATCTGCATTTTACTCTGTGTACCAGAGAAATTCCTGGAAGGGCTTGAAGGCCCTGATATGTTTGAAAGATTGTATTGGGGGCCAGTACAGAATATATCAGAAGGGACAAAACAGGAAGCGGAGAGTCCAGCCTGAGAAGGCAGGCTAATGATATGAGTCACGTGGACCAATGGTGGCGAAATTAGAAGTTGAATCTGTGTGGTTTGGAGGTAGAAACCATAATACTTGCTGATAGATTTGGATGGGGGCAGCCAGGGGGCTGGAGGGAAGGGGACAAGGAAAGATAACGCTCAGATTTCTACTTGGACAACTGCATGGACTGTCCATTTATTGTAAGATGACAGAGACAGGGAGAGGAATGGTTTGGGTGTTTGGAACTTGCGAAGTTTACAGTGCTTACGTGTCTTTCATGTGAAAATGTCTGGCAGTCAGCTCAGAAGAGATTTTAGTAAGACGTAGGTTAGGGAGTTTTCAGAGTCTGGGTGGCATTGAATTTGAAGTCCTGGGTGTAGAGAGAGGACAGCATTGGGGAGAGGAGAGAGAGCCCAGGATGTGTCCTGAAGAACTTCATCATGGGGAGCTAGAGCAGAGGAAGCACACAGCGGACACAGAGAAGGAGCTGCCGGAGAGGTCCTGGAAAACCAATGGAAGTATTAGTATAGACTTCAGGAGAGAGAGTGTGGAGGGAGTGAAGTGGTAAGCATGTCACTTGGTAGTCCACAGAAGTGGCTCTTGGATTTGTTAACAGGTCTTGAATGACCTTGAGAAGAGCAATTTCAGTAGAATGGATTGACGAAAGTTTGGGAGGAAATGAGTCAGTGAAGATGGGCACTTCCTCAGCCTTAAGAGGGTATGAATAACCTGTAGATCTTGTCCAGCATCCGGGATTCTGCAGTTCTGTCACCCTCTCTGATCCTGCTAATGCTTCTGGTACACTTTGAATAGCAGTTGGTGGTTCTGAAAGCTCAGTGTGCGTTGGAATTACATAAAGGGCTTGAGAAAATAGACTCCTGTTCCCACCTCAGAGTTTCTGAGTCAGGAGTTCTGCGTGCTGCCTGAGAATGTGTCATTCCTGTAAATGTCCAGGTGGGACCTGCTGCTGGCTCCCGTGCTTCGGGGATCTCTGGAGAGCTTGTGACATGAGCCATCAGGAGCAGGCAGAGGAAATAACTAGAACATACTAATGCTGGGACAGTGACCCGGGAGCTAGAGAGTAGAGCACTGAAGGAGTGAAGTCCTGGAGAAGAGCATGGGGTGGGTCCTGAGCACGTCCAGGTCTCGGGTGCTTTGCCGAGTCGGGGCGTGAGCCCTTCCTTAGTTATGGGAAGATGGAGAAATGGTCCAAGTGCAGACGGGCTTGTAGATTTGGTGCCAGGCAGGTGGAGCTCCCCTTGATGGTTTCTGTTTCCTCAACGAGGGCAGGAGCAGCTGTTGAGGGAGGGAAGGAGTTGGGATTTTGAGAAGATGTGGAATGGTCACTTGGGAGAAGGCAAATGTGCTTGCTAGGGAAGACCGACTCTGTTGAGAGCCTATTGGAAGTTAAGGTCGGAAATTAAAAATGCAACCAGTCTGCCTGATTGTGCATTCTTTTTTTTTTTCTTTCCAGTACCGGGTATTGAACTCAGGACCTTGCACTTTCGAGAACCTCTGAACTAAATCCTCAGCCCTGATTGTGCATTCTTGTTTCTTCAACCACAGTTAGTTCTTTGCTTTCAGACATGGGGAATTAAATGGTTGAGGTCACCTAAGGTTAGACTTTATCCTGCTGAGAACATTGGATGGGGAGAAGGAGGAAGAGAGAGAAAAGTGACTGTTACCATTGAGCAAGAAGAGAAATGAGGACAGGAGAGGGCTGAGGGACAGAAGCGAGCAGTGATGACTAGGGCAACACATTGTAGTCAAGAACAGTAAACTAGAAATGAACTAAAAGAGATGGGAAGATTGTGACCGCAACCGTGCTGGCTGTGAGAGTTTTGTAAGGAGGGCAGTTTTGGTGGGGATAGAGGAGGCCGAATGAGGTGGAGTTTCCTAGAGAGGTCAGGAAATAGCATCCTGGATGTGCCCTCCATCTGGATATGGACATTGCCAAGAATGATGACAGAAGTTGGGAGTGGAGAGAGATTTTCAAATAGGAACAAACTTTTTATTGAATGACGGGAAATTCCAGGTCAGGAGATAACAGCAGCAGAGAGGAGCAGTGTATCAGGATTGTGAGCAGGGCTTTTAGAAAGCAAATGGGAAGCACTGGTTTTGAAGAGGCGTCTGTTGGCCCTGAAAACACCCATCCGGCTGGCTAAGCAGAGAGCCCCTGGGCTGTGAGAGAGCGCCCTCTAATGGCAGGGTCGGCAGAGCAGTACAGCCTAGTTTTTGCAAAGCAGCAGCAGGAAGGTTCAGAAAGGTTGAAGATGGAGAGGAATGTGTCTTACACCCATAGTGGAGAGCGAGAGTACATGTGAAGGAAAGGGAGCTTCCTGGATTAAGTGGAGTCGTAAATCCTGTTTGTTGGGGAAAGAGTTGGTAATAATAGATGGTCAGAAAGTCTCAGGTGGCAGATAGACTGGGATGACAGGAAGATGAGGCATGGTAGGCTTGGCCCAATTTCTAAAAATAGTGGGAATGCACATCACATTTCTCTTTTTTTGGTACCGGGGATCAAACTTGGGACCTTGTGCTTGTAAGGCAGGCGGCGGAACCACTGAGCTAAATCCCCGGCCCCACATCACATTTCTTGCCTGGCTGACCTGCGGACCCCCACTCTGACCTCATCCCTGCCCCCCCGGCCCCCCCACAGCCCCCTTGCTCTGTCTCAACAGCGAGAACTTCCTCCTCCCCTGTTTCTTTTTTCATGTGTTTGCTTGCACTTGCTTTTCTGAGCGGCAGCAGAGAGAAACAGTTCATAGTGTGAGCTTTGGATCCAGTCTCCCTGCTTTGCCCATTCGGTGTCCTTATTTGTAAGTGAGGAAATAATACATAGAAGGATTAAAAGAAAAATAATGGAAAGAGCTGAAAACAGTTCTTTGTATGTGGTAAAGACTCAAAAATGTTAATTTTACCATTATTAATTCTTCTGGTTGAAGCTCGTTATTTTCTTTTTCATCTTTCCATGGTTACCTCTTCACTGTTCACCTTGGAGCCCAGTGTGTTTCCTCACTTGTCCTCGCTAAAGTAACGTAACTGCTGCAGTTACGTGCTGCAGGCTTTCTGTCTCTTTATCCATCTTGTCATATTTCATCGCAGCATCCATGGCTGTGTGAAATTATGTTATTACTCTGCTCTCTCTCCCTGTCCCCTGAGGGAAAGGATGCTGTGACTTGATTTCCTACTGTATCTCAGCCTCTGGAAGGTGCCAAATACTTTGTCCTCAAGAAATTTTTGTGTGGGCTCATTTTCCTGAAAACTTTGGTTTCTGAGGCCTCTGCTCTGGTCAGGTGGTGTATGGTGACAAGGTGACAGGGAGACTGAGGCAGGAAGATAGACGTAACCCAACCCTGTGTGTATCAGAACGTTGGCTCATCTGGATTAAGCAACTGCCTGTTTTTGCAAAGTATTAAAACACAGCCACAGCCATTTTTTTATCTTACCACCTGACTGCTTTCTGCCTGCAACCACAAGCTGACGTTGGGACAGACTTTAGGCTGCACGAAGTTTGAGACATTACTCTCTGGCCTTTTACAGATTAAAAAAATTGCCAGTCCCTGATTTAGATGCATAGAAAAAACTAGAAGAAAATGCCAAAAGAAGTAGAAGCTTTCTTTGAATAGTAGAATTATAGATCTGTTTAGTTTTTTCTGTTTTTTTGTTTTGTTTTTGCTTTTTGTATTTTGTGATAGCCCACTTAATTTGGAAATGAAATAGCCTTGTAAATATTTAAAACTAGTATTTAGAGCACTTTTAATGGTGGGACTTTTTTTTCTTTTTCCCCCCGTAGTGCTGCTTTTGACACAAAAACTGGGTTGCGTGTGGCAGTGAAGAAGCTGTCCAGACCATTTCAGTCCATCATTCATGCCAAAAGGACCTACCGAGAGCTGCGGTTACTTAAACATATGAAACATGAAAATGTAAGTTCTTCATTCCAGGAGAATACACTCTGGTCTTGAATACACTGAAAAATTGTTTTAATCACTGTAAACAGCAGTGCATTGGAGTGGTTCCAAGTTTGGTTCCTGCTTCTCTGGGTATTGGGGTATTAGTGGTCACTGGGTTATGTCAGGTGAACAACGTCTTGGAATAAAATCGTGCCTCTTTTTGGAGTTCTGGTTTCACTCAAAGATTTGTACAGGGAACCTCCTTTTCAAAGTTTCATATAAAAAGAGAAGTACATAATTTCTTAAAGATGTTTAGCCTGGTGTGGTGGGTGGTACACACCTATAATCCCAACACTTAGGAGGCTGAGGTAGGAGTATCACCTTAAGTTTGAGGCCAGGGTAGGCTACATAGTGAGTTCAGGGCCAGCCTGGACTACTACATAGTGAGATCCTATCTCCTTTTTTTTTTTTTTGGTACTGGGGATCGAACTCGGGACCTTGTGCTTGCGAGGCAGGCGGCGGAACCACTGAGCTAAATCCCTGGCTAAAAACAAAAGGGTGTTTAAAAGAAAATGTTAAAAGAAAAATTTGTATTCTTTTCTTTGGCTAATTTGCATATGGTTACATTATCAGAATATGGAGGGTTATGGCTATTAAACTGGAAAAAATGAATACTATCTTTGGCTCACTGAAAGTCCCCTGAAAGTTGGACATTATTTTATGTGTACCCTTGGCCTTCCATATCCATAGATTCTGCATCCACAGAGTCAATGGACCACAGATCAAAAATTTTATTTATTTGTGATTTTAAAATATAAAAATATAACTATTGTAGCATGGCTAACTCAAATATCAGAGAACTAACAAAATGTTTTTGCAAAAAAAATTTTTGTGAAAAAAATGATGACTGCACTGTGCATGTGCAGACCATTTCCCGCCATTATTCCTTAAATGCAGTATACTAGGACTGTAAGCCATCTAGAGATGATTTAAAGTGAATGGGGGATGTGTGCAGGTTCCATGCAAGTACAGTTCCATTTTATACAGGGGAGTCGAGTAGCGGCAGATCTGGGTATCCACAGTGAGGGCGCAGTCCTGAAACCAACCCTCATGATACCCAGGGACAGCTGTTTAATATAATTTTTCTTTCTAACCATCAAGAGACAGCTCTTATTTTAATAAGTGTCGCAGAGAATTAAGTTAAATGTAACGTTTTCTTTTCTACCAGTTTGGTAATTTGAAAACAGTGCCATTCTGCAAAGGAATGATTTATGAATCCTAACGTGGTAAATCAGTGTCTATAATTGGAAAATAACTCAAAGTGAAAAACTATTGACCGAGGATACTTATTTTCTGACTTTCAGAATCAAGTTAAAAAGTTTCTTGAGGGCCGGGGATTTAGCTCAGTGGTTTCACTGCCTGCCTTGCAAGCACAAGGTCCCGAGTTCATTCCCTGGTACCAAAAAAAAAAAAAAGTTTCTTGAGCCGGCTGTGGTGGCACACTCCTGTAGTCTCAGCACTCAGTAGGCCAGCCTGGGTTAATAGGGAGTTCAAGGCCATTGTAGAAATCATGGGCAGAGAGATTTGAGACTCGACTTAGACTTGCTTATTCAGACTCTTTTCATAATTGGACTTTTTTCTCTCTAGTAGGAGAAAATTCAGATTAAGTGATACTTTATTGGTATAGCTTTATTAGCACAAGTTTCTTCCTAATTGATAACAGGAAACAGATTTGTGATTACATGATGGCTGCTGTTAAAATCACAGGTGCAGCTTTTTGTTTATTTCCCTGTTTTGTTTTGATGGCATACTGTTAAACCCTGTTTTGTGCAGATAGCCGCTATTCCTATAATCTTCGTGAGCAGCTGTGTACAGAACCGAGCTTTAAAAAAGTCCCATGCAGCTGTGTGCGGTGGAGCACACCCAGGGTTCCGAGGCAGGAGGCTTGAGAGCGGAAGCTGGCGAGGACCAGTCCGAGAGACCCTGACGCGAGTTTAAAGAGCCGGAGATGTACTCGGCGCTGGAGAGCTTGCCTAGTGTGTGCAAGGCGCGCGCGCACACACACACACGCACACACATGCACACGCACCCCACCCTTCAGTGTTGAGCTGCAGCCATCCTAATCACTGACGTTGTTTACAAGGAGTGGCGATGTGGAAAAAGCTGGCAGGGGAAAGTTAATTCCTAGGTCTGCGTAAAATCAAAGTGTCCCGGCAGCCGAACGGATGTGTTTATGCTTGGTTTCTAACACGTTTGAGTGTGTATGCTGTTTTTCATTGCCCATTAACAAATGTGACACAGACATTGTCACAGGTTTTTAAGCATAAAGAATATTTCAAAAATAGAATGCAAACCAAACATTTATGGAACCCCAGAGCACCTCTGGAGGCCCTGGGATCCCACTAATGTAGCTTATTCTAATTTAAGAACATCTGGTTTAGGAGATTACTGGTAGTTTCTTCCACAGACAATTTAATCCAATGTTTAGGACAAAAATTATTTTGGGTTATTTGCACCCATGCTTTGGCTTTTCTAGTAACCATAGGAATCAACCTTCTTTAGTTTTTGTATGCTTTAGTTTTCTGTAATGAGATACTTACGTGAAGATGTCTAATATGATAGCAGACTGGTTGCATTTGGAACCTAACGTGCTTTGGAAGTTTGGAGGCTGCAGAGTGATGCGATTCAGTTGTTCTAATTTAGGAAAGATTGCAGTACTCTGAAAAGATTGCTGACAGCATTAGAAAAATAGAATTTTAATTTACCTAAGTTGTTTTATAAGTATCTTGCTCACTAGCAGTCCATCTTTTTCATATTAAGATGTTCAGGTTTCGGCCACAGAGGTCATCTCATATATCAGATATTGCTGATTTGTGGGGGTTTTTTGGTACCGCTTGTGAGGCAGGCGCAGTGCCACTGAGCTAAATCCCTGGCCCTAGGATTTGTATATTTGAACAAAAGCAAGTACATGGTCGAATGTCTCATAGCTCTGTATTCTTTGGACATATGTTGGAAGGGGAGATGGGAAGAGGTCAGAGGGCTGTGACTGACTGCAGGAAATCTCCTGCCTTTCAGCCTGTTCTGTAGACTGTGTTAGGTGCTTACGATGTGGAAGTAGTTTCACGGGTAAAGAACCAAGACTTCCTGTAAGTTTAAGGATGTTTCAAAGCAGTTCTCCTTCATTCTCTTCTTCTTCACTGTACTTTTTTGCTTTTTTTAAATGGGAGCTTTGGGTCACTACCTACTTTTTTGCTAGCTGCCAAGCGTCCAGAGATGACAAGAGTAGCTTTAAAGTTTTTTGAAAATTTAGGGTATTAATAACAAGTAGAATTTTTAGGATGCATATATGATCTTTTGTTTGTTTTGTTTTGTTTTTTTGGTACCAAGGATCAAACTTGTGTCCTTGCTCTTGTGAAGCAGCCAGCGAAACCACTGAGCTAAATCCCCGGGCCTTGTTTTTTGGGGGTTTTTTTGTTTTTTTTTTTTTTGGTACCGGGGATCGAACTCGGGTCCTTGTGCTTGTGAAGCAGGCGGCGAAACCACTGAGCTAAATCCCTGGGCCCCCTTGTTTTGTTTTTTTGAGAAAGGGTCCAACTATGCAGTTTAGGCTGGCTTTGAACTTGCTGTGTAGCCCAGGCTGGCCTCAAAATTCATGGCAACCCTCCTGCCTCAGCCTCCCGAGTGCTGGGATTATAGGTGTGCACCACCACGCCCAGCCTTCCACGTGATGTTTTACACACAAATGCCTCTGCCCCACATTTTGAGTTATTCCTCCTGCTGGTGATGAAGGGCAGAGTCCCAGTTAGGGCGTGGTGACTGGCTCTAGGGGCTGTCTTCAGTGGCTGAGAGGTAGTCTCTCAGCAAAGCCAGCGGCTCCTCTGTCCAGATTGAATTTGTGATCTTGCTCCCATTAACACCTGCTTGAAGGACAGTTAAAGGGAGGCAGCCTTCCAGCCGCATCCTTTTGCTGTCTGGGAAGTTACTTCTGGGCCTGGAGATCTGTACATCTTGAAATTTAAAATATAAGAAAATGCTTTCTTAAGTTTCGTTTGAGAGTCTTAGATTTGACCTTGTCCTGTAGACCATTAGAGATACTTGCTGCTTGTTTGTATTATAAAGGTTCTTTCAAAAGATGTGGTTTCTGTGTTACTTTTAGTTGACCGAAATAATGGCAGGAGTAAGGAATAGGCTAAAATATGACTTAAAAAGAAATTTCCACTTAAGAAATGAATGGATTATGAAATATTCCTAAAATGGTCTCCAAATCTATTTTAATGCTGGGAAAAATTTGTATGACAGTATTTTCCTTATGATTAATACTCTGTAAATACAGTGAATGGAAGAGGGGTATATTGTAAAAGTCCACGCACAAAAAAATTAAAAGTGAGGGCTGGGGATTTAGCTCAGTGGCACCGCACCTGCCTCACAAGTGCAAGGTCCTGAGTTCGATCCCCAGTAACCCCCCCCAAAAAAATTAAAGGTGCTTTGATGTAATGTGGATAACTTCACAAAATTGCTTATGGTGCTTATGTTAAATACAGTAAATATTGTAACTATTTCTCTTATTATTTCCAAGTTAATTCATTGTGTTTCTTGAAGCCATTACCCATTTGAATAATTTTGTTTAGCTTTATGCTTCAAATTCTGTCACTGTAAATAGCTGCCTCAAAGAGCTTGCATTTGTGTGTTGCACCTTGTAATTGTGTGGGGTATGAGAACTGCTTATTTATTAGTCTTTTGTGTTAGGTATCCTCAGGTACATTATCTCCTTACCATCCCCAGAGTACTTTAAAAATAATCAGTGATAACTCTGTGTCTTTCATTTGAGGTAAATGGGGTTCAGAGAAGATACCATGTTCATTTACTAAATGTTATCTATTTACCAAACACTAAGGTCAAATTATGGCTTATGTAAATGATAGATACAGTATATATAAATATTGTTGAAAGAAATGCAAGAATAGTCATTTATGTTAAGTAAAAAGGCAGGATATAAAATTATGTGCAGAGTATAACCCCTCTTTAATTTATGTACAGCAAAAGAATCAAAATATTCTGAAATGTGAATGACAATTATAATGGCTGGTACAGTTGTGGTTAATTGTGGCTTTCTTGCTTGTAGTTGTGTGGGCAAGGGTCTGAAGGGTGACTCTGTTTCCTTTGGAACAGTTTATATGGACTTGAAAAACTGTTGTGCTTGAATTCCAAGGTCACTTGTTCCCTTTTAGGTTGAGCTGTGTGATTCAAGTCGCTGTCAAAAGTCTGATGTTTAAGGGTCGGGGATTTAGCTCAGTGGTTTTGCCGCCTGCAACCCAAGTGCAAGGACCTGAGTTCGATCCCTGGTACCAAAAAAAAAAGTATGATGTGTGGATGGATGGAGTAATATCCTAATAAGTCTTCTCTTTTCTAACAGTGCTTTGAGCTTTAGTGTGTCTATAGAGTGATTTGTTTCACTTGATTTAGGGCAGCTTGGTAGTGAGGCCGGTCGGATTCAGTTTTCATGAAGATCATTTAGCTTTCATTTTAAGATACCCTTAAAATTGGCTGGGCACGTTAGAAATGAAGTATGTTATTTCTTGTTTTGGTGTCTCACTGTTGAAATAAGTGGTCTGGGTTTGAAGGGGAGCTGACAGAGTTGGGGTACCTTACGTGGATAAGTCAGCAGTGTAAATCTATGACCAGAAAACCTGCTCACACACCACAGGTTACCATTAAGTAGCTCTTCGCTTTATCCTGATATAAAGTTGGCCTCACCTGTGTTAATTTCAAACAATCTGATCTAAATGCCTGATAATAATTAAGAAAATTATCTTAGTATTAAGAAAATACTGTTCTCCCTCTGGTGGCACATTTACTAAAAAAGAAAATACTATGAAGAATATAGTGAGAAAATATTTTGGAGTTTACAAATGTTGATTTTAAAGGTTGCATTTCTGTGGGTTTTTTTTTTTTTTTTTTTTTTTTTGGTACTGCGGATCGAACCCGGGTCCTTGCACTTGTGAGGCAGGTGGTGGAATGTAGGATACATTTTAAAAAGCAAACTTACTGGCCGGGGATGTAGCTCAGTGGTTTTGCCACCTGCTGCAGAAGCGCAAGGACCTGAGTTCCATCCCCAGTACCAAAAAAAGCAAAATTACTACAATGAAAACTTTAGAAATGTGACTCACTCTTTTCATTTGTTAATTCATTAGGTCATTAGCACAGGTGCAGGGATGATTCTAACTCTTTTTGCCTTCTGATAAACTATTGGCTGTTATGCAAAGAGATCCTAATAAGATAAAGATTTTTGGTTTTTTGTTTTGTTTTTTGGTACCAGGGATTGAACTCGGGACCTTATGCTTGTGAAGCAGGCAGCGGACCACTGAGCTAATTCCCGGGGCTGAGATAAAGATTTGTAATGATGAAATAGGTTGTTATGAGAAGTGATACTAATAAGTAGAGATCAAAAGCATACTTTGGATAGAAAATCAGCTGGAATTATTAAATATATGATACTGTGATGTTATTGCCTGAGGTAGCTGGATTCAGAATTAGTTCTGCTTAACGTGATTAAGACCTGATGGGAAGTGTGATATTTATTTACTGCTTGATCTTTCTCTCGTTTTTTAATAGGTGATTGGTCTGTTGGACGTCTTTACACCTGCAAGGTCTCTGGAGGAGTTCAGTGATGTGTGAGTAAATATTTTGTTTGCCTTCCTCTACTGGAGGATGAGGATTAGTGTTTCTGTCCCTGAACCATTTAGCAGTATCCAGACTTCAAAAGATTCCTTGTTCCTATTATCCACCTCTGCCTGCAGCGTGGGGTTGATGTGGAAGATTATGTCATGTGTGGTCCATGTTAGTATTTCCACCATTTCCAGCACACTGCCCATTTGGAGAGTGTCAATGTTGAGTCTTTACAAAAGATCCATGGAGAAGAGAGTAGAGGGAGTTTTGACTATGAATTTTCTTCTCAAATTGCCTATCCTAGCTTTTTTTCCTTAATTTTTTTTGGGTGGGTACCAGGGATCAAACTTGGGGCCTTGTACTTGTGAGGCAGGCAGTAGAACCCCTGAGCTAAATCCCTGGCCCTGCCTATCCTAGCTTTTAAAGGTACTCTTCAAGAAATGTACCTTAAGGGGCTGGGGATTTAGCTTAATGGTTCTTCCGCCTTCCTTGCAAGCGCAAGGTCCCGAGTTCAATCCCCGGTACCAAAAAAAAAAAAAAGAAAAGAAATATACCTTAGCCCCTGTTCCAGATAGGCTTTTTGCTCTTTTATCGCCTGGCACATGTGGGAGAAGATGCTAGAACTACATGTTGATCTTTGAAGTATTAGGCTTTTTGGACTGGGACAAGGGGCAGACCCTCCAGCTTGGGAAATCCTCCTCCTGTTTTTGTAGGCTGGGGTCCTCCTACAAAGCAGAGCTTGCATCTCTGGAACCGCTAGTGGGGACTGGGGAAAATGAGACAGAGAAGGGAAGAAAGCTGCTACAGGATTCGTTAGTGAAGCAGTCACCACTGTGGGCCGCTGGGCCGAGACTGCCCAGATGAGGAGCCACACGGAGTGCATCTCAGTGTGTGGGGGGGTTCCTCCAGCTCCTGACCCTGCTGGCTCTGTGGGTCATTAGTGCCTTCGCACACCAGGCTGCACATGTGTGAGCGCCAGCCCAAGCCCAGCCGGTGTTGCTGCTGTTTTCTGACTTGGGCAAATGCTATATTTTGGCTTAATGAGAAATTCTGGAGCTGAATTATGAATCTGCTTTTCCTGTGTGAAAAGACCTTAATTAAGAAAGACCACTGTTCAAATAAAAACCGTATATCTATAAAAAAAAAAAAAAAGAAAGAAAAGAAAGACCACAGTGTATTTAGAGGATTTTTATTAATTAGAGGCTCCTACGTTCAAATGAGGGCATACCAACTACAGATGTACCTACTAAACTAATATTCATTCATTCATTCATTCATTCAACAAGTACCACAGCTACTAAACAGGAATCTACTCTTTCTACTTAACTGTAGCTGGATTCTGATGATTCTTTATGAACATCTCTTGGGAAAAAATCTGTCCTATTTGTTGAATGCACCCTGAGTACAAAACACCTAGCAGAGTGTGGGAAAGAGGCTTAGGATAATCAAAACACCAGTTTTTCCCCTTGATGAAATCACAGTCTGGTTAGAGGGAACATTCAGAATTGTATCCAAGCCACCAAGTGGATGACCTTGATGACTCGATGTACTTCTCTAGCCCCAGTGAACTTCCCTGTAAGATGACGAAAAGCCAGGTAGTTAGCTTCTGATATCATAAAACCTCTGAAAATAGAGTGATAAGCTTGCCCTTGGGAAAATGTTTTACTGTTTACTTTTTTTTTTTGGTACCAGGAATTGAACTTGGGTCCTTGCACTTGCAAGGCAGGAGGCGGCTGTTTACTTTTTTAGATGATGTTTATGTTATTAAAAAATTAGCAGTTGGGGCCGGGGATTTAGCTCAGTGGTTTCGCCGCCTGCTGCGCAAGCGCTCAAGGACCCGAGTTCAATCCCCGGTACAAAAAAAAAAAAAAAATTAGCAGTTGACCAGGACTATGGTTATTTCAATGTTTTCCGCAGTCATGCAATTCAAATTTGTACTGCTTTTTAAATGTCGAGGTTAGCAGGCACCCTGCAGACTTCTTTTGTAAGGGTACATCTTTGAGAAAGGACAGTAGGTAGTGAGTTTCCTTCGTTAGGGACAATAGGAGGCGGCTGAATCTTACAGATGGAAATGGTGTTTGGAAAGTGTGCAGTTAAAATATCTAGGTCTTGTAAATGGCTGAAAATGATTGGGACATTTCTATTGGCTTTTTTCTTTTGGTACCGGGGATCGAACTCAGGACCTTGTGCTTGTGAGGCAGGCGAGGCCCCACTGAGCTAAATCCCCGCCCCTCTATTGGCTTTTTTTTTTTTTAATTAAAAAAAAACTTTACTGTTAGGACTCAAAATATTCACCACAATGAATCTTTCAAGATATATACTGACTGAGCCACAGACATGAAGAAAATTTCATTAGAGATGATGGAGTAATAAGGAGTAAGATCACTTATTTGAGGCTACCCATTCTAATGTTTCCTTCTTTTATGAGCTTATTTCAGCTTCAGTGTTACCAGAAATGTAATAATAACCTAGAAAGAGGAAGTTAGGAAGAGAAAATTACATGAATGTAAAAATAATCCTGGTTTTGATATATCATTCCAGGAAAATATGTAGAAGGGAAAAGATGATAAGAACATGGAATTTAACTTCCTATAGCTAAGTACATCTAGAGTCCCGATGATTTTAAGCTTCTTATTGAATAGTTTCTATTTTGAGAAACAGTCTTTACCTCAGGAAACAAAGTCCTTGATAGTGATAACTGAGAACTTTCTGAAGCCAATAGGAAATTTCAAAATTTCACACCACACACATATAAAAACACACATGTGGCCAGGGATTTAGCTCAGTGGTTCCACCATCTGCCTCGCAAGCACAAGGTCCCAAGTTCGATCCCCAGTACCAAAAAAATAAAAATAAAAACACGTGTGTATCCTTGAAAAAGTAACATCCTATGCACATTAATCATTTGGTTTCCCAGGGGTTCTGTTGGCTTCTTGATAGTAATATATGGCTGGAGGCCACATATTATGAGCATATTGCATGCTGCCAATATTTAGAAGTGCAAAAAATAGCCAGTATTAGAACCAAAACTCAGAGTGAGCTACAACTTCTGCCAACCATAGTGTGGGATTTTCTTAATTGCTTTTTTTTTTTTATCAAGCTTAGGCATTGGAGGGTTTTTGAACTTTTCTGGGAACTATGTTCTCAAATTTCAGGAAAATTGAACTTTCGTAGATTAGATAGAAATTAGCCTTCTGTCATGTTTTCTCTATTTTACAGCTTCCCAGCCCAGGTCTCTTACAGTGAATTTCTTACCTCTGGTTCATTCTTGTTTTTTTTTTTTTGGTACCGGCAAACGAACTCGGGACCTTGCGCTTGCTAGGCAGGTGGCAGAACTACTGAGCTAAAGCCTCGACCTCTCTGGTTCATTCTTGAAGAGGGGTCTTGGATTCTGCTGTGATGTTGCAAAAGACCCACAGCTGGGTCACTGGGCCACCTTCACTTTAGTGAAAGGCCAGCAGGCAGATGTTCACCCAGCCTAGCCTTGCACCTGCTGGGCCCAAGTGTTCAACTAGTAAGTGTAGCTTCTTGTTTCACTATAAACAGACGTGAAAGCCCTGAATTGGTAAAGAGAATCTCTGGATTTCTACTTTATTGATTTTATTCAATAAATATTTATCCACCTTCTATTAGTTATAATACTAATATGTGAAGAATATAATAAACATAATCCCTAACTGTTGCGTTAAGACTTCTAATGATGGAAAAGAACAATTCAGAAGATCCAGCAGAAGACAGTGTGATGAGTCTGGGGAGACCCTGTGTGGTTTGGCCCGAGGCCCCTCACCCACGTTCCTGAGGACTGCTGCACGGGTTTCTAGTTACAGCCTGCAACACATTCCACTTCACTTCCTGCCCCTCCCTGGGGTCCTCTCCTTGGAAGCCCTTTTCCCACCTGAATTGCTACCCATGCTATCACTGATGAGTCCTTCCCCTGCTTTATTCGTAGCAATGTTTACCATCATGCTGCCATTACTGTCTTTCTCCTCTCTCTGCCTCTAAGCTCTATGGGGGTAGAGAGACTGTTCTTCTTTTCTAAGTTGTTTGTACTGAGAACAGCAGGCAGCGGCTGTTTAGTGAACAGAGGGTGTGCGGTTGTGATGGCAGGGCAGGTACAGTGTGCTCAGGGATCTCAGCACCACCGCCTACTCCTAGCTATGAGGTGTCTTCAGAGAAGGCTTTGCAAAAGAGGCCTGTGCACCCTGAGCTTAAAGCCTAGTGGGCATCAAAAAGGTGAGGGAAGTGGGCATTGAAGGAGGAGCTGGACTGGGGAGGGACCAGGTCATCCGGGGCTTTGTCCTAAGCTGTAAGCAGGTTGCCTGAGAGGTGACAGCAGAGGGTCCTGGGCAGTGGGGTGGGATTGAGACAGGAGGGAAGGTTCCTTTTATGTGCTATGACAACTCTCCTCCCTTCTCCCCACACAAACACATTTTATAATGTGCAAGAAAGAGATTTAATTTTAGCAGAGGCAGTTTCTCCTAGGTCTTTATTAACACATTAGAAAATTTTTCAGTTGAGTGTGCCAGGTCAAAATCTAAAATGGATTCAAGGCTTTTCTGGGAACTAGAATTTATATAATGATGTTCTTCATTATTAATATCTGATTACAATTTTCTTTTTGCTGTACAGAGGGTAGAACCCAATGCCTTTGCAGTGAACTACATCCCTGCCCTTTTTTAACTTCTTGAGACAGGGTCTCACTAATTCACTACATTGCCCAGGCTGGGCTTGAACTTGTGACCCTCCTGCCACAGCCTCCTAGAGTCTAGGGATTTCAGGTGTGCACCACCATTCCTGGCTTGATTTGAATTCTTGACTTTACAGCTATGTCCTTTCTTTCAAAGCAGGGCTTTATGTGTGTGGGTGAAACTGAAAAACATGTGCATAGACAGTTCTGTAATACAAATGTTATTTTATTCATTAGCATCTTATGTTTTACAAGGGCTTGGACATACATTTTCTCATCTGATACAACCACCCGGTGAAGTACATATTATTATCTCTA